TGGTGAGTGCTGAGTGGTGGGCGTTGTGGCTTGTAGGAGCAAACAAAACATACATCATTGTCTCTGTGTGATCCTTTGGCCTGAAAGATCACTTTACCAGCTCGTTCATCTAAATAGATTGGAGTGAATTTTAAACAGTAAAGATGTAACATTGTGCTTCTTTAGAAAGCAGCACAAATAGAAAAATATGCACATATAAGACTTGGTAAAGTACTTTGTAACATTAGAATGGGGTTTGTGTTCACACTAACCTAAACTGCATTTAATGATGTCTAGTGAATGAAAAAAGAAACTTCATTTTCATAATATCCAAACCTATTTACTTGCTCAAAGTTCCCTTGTGCAAGACAGTGGTTTGCAGCCGCATGCAAAAGACCCAGATATATTGTTTCCAGAGCTCTCCCAGGATGCTATTTCAAAATTGTCATCTCAACATAGTTAGCTGAACCTGTCATTTCAGTCACCAGGAATAAGATTCTGTGGTTGTGCGTGACAAGAGCAAAGAGCTTTTTGGAGAAATGGTAGGGAAACAAGCCTGTTTTGTGCAAGCCAGGGGGTTAAAGCTGTTGACATTACAAACTGTTGCATTTAGATTGCATCTCCATAAAGTCATCTTCTCCCTTTTACATAGACTTTTTTTCATTTTTGTATGCATGTATAGCCTATGTAATAATTATGCAATCCTTTTTGCAAGACATAACAAAAAAGCTTGAAAAGGTAAGCTTTTTTAGGTAGCCTATGTTGACCTCAGGTGCAATCATAAAAACATTGACTTTTAAACAAAATCCTGAATATTGGCTTTTCTCTTTAATTACGTGTATTTTTTTTCAAGCTACTGTGAAAGAATAAAATGTTTTGGTTGTAATTATTTGTGGAATTTCAGCAACCTCAGCTGCTTGAGTCTTAGTGTAAAATCTACATTTTACAGTGTATTTCTGAGACCATCTTATCTTGGCTGGAGTGCAATTCACATTTCTAGTAAAGTTTTAAATTTGTTCTGTAAAGAAGTAATGTAATGATCTTGTTGTTTCTGTCATTACCCACAGCTCATGACCATGAGTGGAAGGTGGAACAAAGATGTATTGGTGAATTAACAGCTTTGACTTTTGTCTCAGCTCTGTCTTCACTTTGACAAGTCAGTATAGCACCCTAATCACTTTGCAATATTGAGTTTACTACAACCCTTGATTTACATCTGTCACTCAATTCCTTCTTTATTATTCCTTAGACGTCATCTAAGAAATAAATTTAGAGCCTGGAATTGGTTTGGACATTTTCCCCCCAGAAGCTTAAAGACAAAGCTTGAAGCTGCTGGCAGCCTAACAATGTTTCAGATGCTTCACAAGCTTTTTCTTTCTCTCTTTTTTTTCATGTCACAATGTTGCCTTCTACCTGCCAGTCACAAAAGATTAGAGAAGCCAGCAAGTTGACATGTTGGACAAACGTAATGTCTCACTGACTGAAAGGTTTAACAGATTAGACTGTTCTGCTGTGGGAGGACCAACAGGCCAGTTATCAATCGTCCATGTGCCTGCCTCATGCTGTAGCCCGGAGAGCTGAGCATTTCAAACAAATAAAGCTGTCACTGGAAAAAACAAACAAAACTAACAAGCAAAAAAATAAAACATGTATGCAAAGTGGGCACATCAGGTGACAGATGAAATGACATTTGACAACTCAGTAAAAAAGCTGTAATTTATTCAACTTTTTGAGCATCTTGAATATATTTAGCACTATGGAGGCTCCAGCTTGTTTTCTTAACACTAGAACTCCCAGGAACCGCCAGTTTGACGGCTGTCACTTTGGCCATTAAATGCAGGCTGACGATGACGTTGTGGATCAAAATGGTTCAAGTGTGTTTATAATTAACTCTTTATGAATGTGTGAAACTTACGAATGTGTGAACCTAATAAAACTGTAAGACAATATAATTTTAATCTAAACCTTGAAAAGAAGTCTCTCTATTGTTCGCTTGGTAACCGACACGGATCTTTTCCGTGGATAGGGGTGAGAGGTCCCAGATCGTCTTCCGCATTGCTGTCAGAGTCTCTGCTGCTTCCTACTGACCCGTTTTCATCAGTTTTCCCCTCTCCTCCTGAAGCAGCTTCATTTCTCATGCATGTTTCACTGAGAATGTTCTTCTCAGCCACTATTTCACTCGCAGTACGAACGGAGAGGAAGCGCGTGCGAGCTGGAAAGTTGGTTGCTTAGCAACGGCGATGCTGTCTGTTAGTCATGGATGAACGTTACCATGTAACCAATAGAGCGGTCAAATTGACGGCTTGTGGGATACGAAGACAAACACAGCTATATTTATTTTTTGATACATTATTTTATGGAAATTATAAAGCAAAAATAAAGGACACATAAAAATAGGAAAAGCCAGGACAACATGAGATCCATCTAACTAAAGTTATTACATACCAAAATATGAAAACTGTCAAAATGACTGCCTTGGGAGTTCTAGTATTAAAGTGACAGAGCCCTAAAATGGCTCATTCTGGAAGGTACTGAAAATGTAAAGATTAACTGCTGAAACTGCTTTATGTGAGAGGGATTAGTGCAAAGAACTTCATGAACATGTTTTGTATTGACCATATAAGTATTATAACTTCAGACAAGATGTCACAATATGTCTCCTTTAATGAGACGAATAGCAAAAAGCTAAGGTCAGCATTTTACACTAAAACATATGCAGTCATCAATAGTGTGATACTGAATGAACAAAAAAAGTTTAATCCCCCAAACTAGAGAATTTAGGATTTTACTCTCAAGTGTAGCATTTATAATAACAGTGTGACTTCAGTTTTAAAAATCAGTAAGTGTTTTTTTAAGCTGTGCGTTCTGTAGAACTTAAAGATCATATTATGATGCCCATCAAAATACGTGACAGAAACTTCATTGTCACAGTGTTTTGGCCATTTTGGTTGATTTCTTGTACATCATTAGTTTCATTTATTCTCACTTTCATTTTATTTTTAATGTGTGATTAGTTTGATTACTGATTCCTATTGATTATTACATGATTACAATGATTTGATGACTTTTGGACCCTCTCATTAATCAGGAGGATTGAAAGCATGCTGGGGGTGGGGGGTGCAAATGTTGCTGTTTGTCTTGTGTCAGCCAGAGGCGACTGAAGGCTTTTTCAAATGGTTTTCTGACCACTTTCTGAACTTGCTGAATGACAATGTTATTGTTGTTTTTTTATGGTGAAATAAATTATTGTTTGAATTTTAGGCATAACTTTTCAAGAAATAAACAGAATATATATTATTAAATAAATTAAGATAAATTCACGTTACAAAACTTTTTTTCGTTCTGCTGACAAATTCAGCTTTAATGCGAAAAGCAAAAATGTCTGCAACTCAACTCTTGAGAATGCTGATGCAAAAGTCGTGTTAAAAATAAAATTTAGTTTAGTTGTTGTACAGATGACAGGTTGACAAGGGAACAAAACGTTATACTCCTGCATAAATTATTTTGATGTGCATGTTTTTACAAATTAAGCTTTGACTAGAAGATATATGCTTGTTCTGTCCTTGTCAAATACATCTAAAACTAAATCACAGACAGTACAGGACTTATAAAAAAGCAACGTTAAGTGAATAATCATTAATGTTGTTTTTCTGCAGAGTATATCAGAGCCAGAAGTCCCTGCGCTCCCACCACCATCCCTGCAGGGTGTTGAGGAGCTGTCAGAGGCTGTGGCAGGGCTGAGTACTGTGGAGGAGGTCATGAAATACCTGGAACCAGAACGATGGCAGCTGGACATGGAGGAGCTGTACAAGCCCACATGGCAGGTTCTAGGGAAATCCTTCATTCTTAACAAGAAGGCAAGAGGTAAGATGTTTCAATGTGTTCAATGTAGATTAAAAATAATAATAATTAGAACTTAATACAAAAGTTAAGTGGCATGATGACTAAACACTAATGCCTCTGTCCCACTGCAGGGGACCGCTATCAGTCTGCAATTTTTAGTAAAGTGTTTCTGTTGCATTTTAAGCTCTCATGTTGGCAAGCGGTGGGGGTACAACATACCGCCATGTGTCATGCGCCATTTTATAAATAAGTTTTACAATTATTCAGTATTTTTGTGTTGCAGTATATGGTCTGCAGAGCTAAGGACAAAAAAGAAATGTTCACCGACAGGCACCACAAGTGACTCCAGAGTGTATTCGCTCAGTCCAGTTCTGCCTCGCCACCTCGGTTTGCTGGTCTGTGGCTATATATAGCATCCAGCGTGTCGTAGCGCCTCCATGTATGTTTCCCATTCCTACCCTGGCTGTTTCTGTCTTTAACTTTTCTAAATTGGGGTTTTAATTTCTTCAACTTGGCCCAACACCGTTCTGATGTCCGCTCCAATCCTTTGGCTGCCATCCACTGAGAAATTTCTTTAAAAACTTGCATTCCTTACCGATCCATCTAGAGTTTGGACTATCATGATGATGGTGAAGCTCTGAAGCTAATCAAGCCTTGTTGCTACTTATCAGGCATTTTCACATCTGTGTACAACTAATGAAAATACAAGCAGCGCAAGTCCAAGGTTTGTTTTGCTTGTGGCAAGTAGTGATTTATTTCTGTCCCCCAATCAGTGAACTGTCCTGCCCTAACTGTACCGCTCCACAATGATGGCCCTAAAACAGGAGGGGGCCACAAAAGTGGCATCTGTGGCATGTTCCGGGTCAGTTGTTTGGACCGGCTTTACAACTGGAACAGAAAAAATGGCACCCCACCCCATCCTGAATCCTGCAGTGGATCTGAACTATAAAGAAGCAAATTGTAAGAAATGTAAACATTTAGTTCTAAATTAGTTTTAATAGCTTGTTTTATGCTTTTGAGGAGGTGCTGATCTCAACCTGCTGAGGGAAGAAGTCCGACTGTACAGCTGCACACCACGCAACTATTCTGTATCCTTGAGAGAAGAGCTGAAACGGACTGATGTCATTTTCTGGCCCAGCTGCCTCCTTGTGAAGCGTTGTGGGGGAAACTGTGCCTGCTGCTCTCACCACTGCTACGACTGTCAGTGTGTCCCTGCCCGGGTTGCAAAGAAATACCATGAGGTAACTCGTTACAGAATGTGATTTATATACTGATAGCCGTATACATTTATATACATAAAAGCAAATTTACCAACTGGTAAATTTTGTATATCAGAAATTACAATGTAAATGCTTTTCTGTCACCCATATAAATTGCCCATTTTGAATGCTTGGATTGTTTTGTTAGTAAATGGAGATAAATACATGTCTAGCTTAGAGGAAAGAAAGAAAACAATCTTTTATATGGCGCCTCTCAAGATAAAAATCATAAGTCTCTTCACCAAAACAAAAAATATATAAAAAATATGTTTTTCAAAATGAAAAAAAAAATGTTTAAAATTACAAAATATTGTGATTTAAAAAATATATGGAAAGTGAGAGAGAAAATGAATATTAAAGAGGGAAATCATTGGATCCTGGGAAAGGTGGAATAAGAGCAGAATAAGGAGAGGGTGATGATGAAGGTCACGCAAAAGCCAGCCTGGTACACTGCACAACCAGTAGGCTTTGATCCCTGGACCTCAGGGACCTGCTGGGGGTGTAGGGACTGAGAAGATCATCAGTGTACGATGGTGCTTGTCCATGTAAGGCCCTATAGACCAGAACCAGGATCTTGAAATGAACCCTGAAGTTGACTGGCAGCCAGTGAAGCTAGAGGAGAAGTGGGGTGATGTGGGTGTGTTTGGAGGACTTGGTCAGAAGCCGAGCACAGGCATCCTGAACCACCTGTAGACGGTTCAGGGAGGTTCTGCTCAGACACGTGAAAAGAGAGTTACAGTAGTCTCAGCATGAGGAGATGAAGATGTGGATAACTGTCTCAATTTCAGAGCGGGACAGAATGGGACTCAGCTTAGCAATGTTCCTGAGATGGAAGAAGGAAGAGCGAACAAGAGAAGTGACATGAGGATCCAGGGTGAGAGTTGGGTCAAAGGTCACACCAAGATTCCTGACGGAAGGTTTGGTGTAGAAAGCAAGCTGACCAAGAGAGTCTCTGACTTTGGGAACCAGCTTGTCTGGGGCACAGATGAGGATCTCAGTCTTATCTTCATTCAGCTGTAGAAAGCTCCCAGCCATCCAGGTTTTGATAGAGTCTAAGTATGTGTGTAACAGCTGCAGCTTAGACATCTCATGGGGCTTAAAGGAGATGTACAGTTGGATGTCATCTGCATAAAGATGGTAGGAGATTCCTTAAAAAGGAGCTCTTAAATTTGTATTAAAAATGTTGTTGCTTAGTAAATGCACAAATCCAATAAGTGTTTGCTAAATTACCAATGAGTTTGGTCAGTGTTTTAAGAGTATTAATATTTGCATGAGGGTTTGAGCATAAATTATGTACCAATAATTTGTGTTTGTGGATTTCATAGCAATGCTACCTTAAAAAGTAAAGGATTTGATAGAGTCAAATGTTGTTTTTACTACAATAATTGTGTCATTATATGATATTTTAATTTAATTAGTAGGTCAAGGAGGAAATTGTCCAAAGTTCAAAAGACATAAAATTTATGCGCAGTTATTAAATTATTTTCTTTATATTCCCGAGTCACTGTAGAGTCACGCAGCATGACATAAACAAAGTTTTATGTACTTTCTTGGCAGGTTTTACTGTTGAAACATCGAGGTGGTGGGCGAGGCCTGCTGAAGTCCATGACTGACGTCCCCTTGGAGCACCATGAGGAGTGTTCCTGTGTGTGTAAAGATGACTAGAACTGACCTCAGACATGCCAAACAGTTGTTAATGGAAAGCACATGGGACATTAGGAATGAGCCTTTGCTGCTGTTCTGTACCTCATCCACTTCCTCTGGGAGCTAACAAGATTCTTCCTTCATACTGTTGTCCTTTCAGTAATTGGATGAAGCAGAACAGACGGGAATCTAATAAATCTTCTGAATGGATGCGGCCATGGTGGAATACCAATAGTGTGCTTGGGATGCATTTTAGAGTGACTAAAATTCACTGAAGCAGATGTGGACTATTACCTATGAGTTCTATTTTTCAGCTCAAGGCGTTTGCCTCCTACTTTTTTAAAGATCAGTTGGTGTGGGCTGACTCTGTCATATACTGTACAATGGAAGCTCATATTTTCAAGTAGTGTTTGATGTCCATAAGTGAGCTGACTCCATCGGCTTTAATTCCCCAGCTTTTTGTATTTTTATCACCGACGCAAAGAGAGGTGCTGTTTATGAGTAGTTTATCTTTGCTTTCTTCATTTTTTCTCTTTGCTATGGATTTAATCAGAGGCACAAAGCATCTGCTTAAGACTGCATTATGTGTAAATATTTTATTTTCGCATGTCTTTTATACCATTGTGCCTTTTCAAGCAAAGATTCTCAAGGAGAAAAAGTTGCACAGTGAGTCAGTTCTTTGGATAAAACGTCTTCCTTTGATTTGTCTTTGCAATGTTGAATTTGCTTGTGTCAGGAATGCCGAGCATCAAGCGATTTTTGCTAAATGATTGTTCATAATATTTATTTGTTTCATGAAAGGGAATTCAGATCCACTGAGCTTTGTTTGATATATATTTTTTTTTTTGCTGTACAGTAGTTTTAGCGTGCGTTTCTCCACTTTTAGCCAACTTTTCATTTCATCATGGATGTTTTCAATTTTTTTGTACACCAAAGCTATTTATAAGAACCTTTGGAACAACTGTTTGTGTATGTTGTTGTAATGAATGCAATAATTAAAAATATTCCATTTCTACCCTGATAGTTGTGATATGTGTGTTTCACTGGCTTCTTACTGAATCACTGGGTCGCCTCTTTTTGGTTCTTGGTTAGAACTGATGACAAGCTGATAGAAAAGTTTATTTTAAAGGACAACATTTTTTTTTCTCTAGCTAGCAAAATCTATGTGAAATAGAGACATTAAGTGTTAGCCACAACAAAGTGAGATTTGTTAGCCCATGCCTGTTAATCTGCCTGAATTTGGAAGAACCACAACACCTAAGCTGTCGTTAGCTTTGCTGTGTCATGTTCTGTGTCCCTTGGTTCCCCGGCCCCTCCAGTTCCCACTCCAGGTTCTCCTTTTGTGTCTCATTGTCTGCATCTCATTTATGTGTCTCCTGTGCTCATTTAGTTATCCTCCGGTTGTGGCTCCGGCCTCTTGTTTCCCCAGCTTAGTTTGTGTGTCAGTATGTGTGTGTGTGTTTGTGTTAGTCCTTCCTCAGTCTTACCCCGGCTTTCCACAGGCGCCGTCAGCAGCACGTTACTGCAGCAGCACGTCATAGCTGCTGATAGGAACCGCTGTGGTCAACAGAACCTTTTCCACGGGAGCCGTCAGCAGTGCGAGTCGGCCGCGTCTCAGGAGCAGCATGTCGCGGCCTTTACGCGCCGGTTCTATTTCCTACGCGCGACGCCTCTGAAACGGGTCAATTTAGACATGTTTGGGGAAGGAAAGACAGGAAATCGGACGCGGAAATGGAGAGAAGCACCCGAGATTTTCAGAATAAAGAACGTACTGCCTTCCGGTTGCTTTACTTTTAAAAAAGTTACTAACTGTGCGGCCCCGTGAGAAGTTATCACCTAGCTAGCAGTCTCCTTTGTTTTTCAGGTCCGTATTGGCGATTATAAAACGGACAGAACATAAAACACAAACCATGTTGTGATTTTCTCCTGCTTGTTGTTGTTTACTGACGAAGTCACTCGTGTGACTTCGTGCTCTGTCGGTGACAGCTGCTCCCCTGCTGCTTCGCGTCTCGTGGGAAGGGCCAAGCAGCAGCTTACGCGAGCAAGACGTGCTGCTGCAGTAACGTGCTGCTGACGGCTCCCGTGGAAACCCGGGGTCAGGTTCAGTTTTATGTTTAGGTTTATCTGCCCTCCATTGGTTCTGTTTTCCCCATTTAGATCATTTGTGTCACCTGCCTTTCCTCCAGCCCTCACTCCACACACCTGCTTCCTGTTTCCTTAATTGTTCTCCCTGTGCATTTAAGCCCTGTCTTGTCACTCTGTGTTTGTCAGTTCATTGTTGCTGTCAGTGTTGTTCCTCAATGTGGTTTATCTTGTCAGTTCTGCCTGTTCCTCTGGTATTTTTTGGATTTTGGCTCCCAGCCTTTGGATTTATTCTTTATTTTTAACTCATCCTACAATAAAAGGATTTCTTTATTTTCAACTCCTGCCTCGTGTCATCCTGGGTTCTGCATTTTGGGTCCAAACCATCCTTTCAACGTGACATGCTAGGCTTTGCTGTTTCATCTTGTATAGCATGCTCTGATTCATGCTAATTCTCTCTTAGTGGACAATTGCTGGACTTGACTTGAAACTCAATGTGCATCAAAAAGAACAGTTTTTCCTGAGATCAATGGTTTGTTTCTCCTCGTTGAACCATGCTATTAGGTCAGTACTTATCAATTAGTGGCTGTCGGGGTGGTGTGGGGCTGGGCAGGAGAATGTAAATGGTAAATTACCTGAATTTATATAGGACCTTCTCAATTAAATTCAATTCAGTTTATTTAGATAGCTCTAAATCATGAGTCGTCTCAAGGCACTTTACCAAGTAAACATTAATAGAGTTCTGGGGCCTCGTTTATCAAGCTTGCTTACGCACAAAACTGGGTCGGAAAACTGCGTAAGCAACTTTCCATGCAAACTTTAGGATTTATGAAAGAAAACTTAGTGGAAAAATGTGTGCAACTTTAAGTTGACTAAGGACCTGGCTTACGCACATTTTGGACATGGAGAGCACCTGCAGTGCTGCTGCTGAGAAGGATAAAATAATGAAAACTTGCAGCATTATCACTTGTACTGCTTCATTTTCACACAGAACAAGACCCATCACATGCGAGTGTACACACATGCGCGCACACACACAAGCGTGTGGGCGCTCACACACACAGCCTGAAGCGCAGAATTCGGAATGCAGATTATCAGCAGGGGGACAGATTGAGACAGAATGTCATGCGTCTGTGACAGTGTCTGTCCTGTCACTGTGACCCAATTGATCATGCGCCCTGTTTGGCTGACTGGTTAGCGCGCGTGCCTTTCACCCGGGAGTCTGGGGATCCAATCCCAATTGGATTTTTTTTTTATATATACGCCACAGATCTCTCTGAAGAATTCACAACATTGACGGCTTCAGCAACGCTGTGCCACTCCGTGGATTTTCTCTTGTTTTACAAAAGTACTTCCTTTCATTTCTCCACCTCACCCACAGGTACCTCAATTTCTGCTTCTGTGAAATTGCACTTCCTTGATCTGCCTTGATCTACGGTCACCATGTCATTGGTGGAGCGCTGCAACAGCCAGCATATGTATCTGCATGAGATCCACAAGGCACTTTGCATTGACTATTTATGGCAGTAAGTGGGCGTGGTGAGGGCGGGATGTGACTAAAATGCAGCTGAGAAACATTCTCGTTAGTCTCCGATTCATGAAGCAGAGATTGTGTGCAGCTGTGCGTACTCCATGTTTGATAGATCACAAACCTACTTGGCGTAAGTACCTTTTTTTTTTGCTGAGCTTCAGTACGGTTTTAGTAAGGATTCTACGCAATGTTTGATAAATGAGACCCCTGTTCATTAAGCCAATCAGTAAAAAGTTTCCTATATAAGGAACCCAGCAGGTTGCATTAAGTCACTGACTAGTGTCTGAGTCTTTACAGCACTCCTCATAATAAGCAAGCATGCAGCGACAGTGGAGAGGAAAACTCCCTTTTAACAGGAAGAAACCTCCAGAGAATCATGGCTCAGTATAAGCAGCCATCCACCACAACTCACTGTAGCGGTGGCAAATGTGTATTATTATTTGATATTCTGAATAAATATACAATATTTCCTTGCCTGATCTTTATTGTAAATATCAGAAAGTTATAGGGCTTAATCAGAATATTCTAAGATTCTTTGCTTTATTAAGCAATTATACACACTTCGTTTTGATTCATGAAAGAGTCAGGTTAATAATAAAAATGATTTTATTACAAGAAAAACACAACAAGTGAACTAAGCATTTACCGTGAATGGATGGGTCTAAAGGTGATGTAGGCTAATGTGTAAATGAGGTGTTGGTCAGAACTTCCGAATCTCAGAGAGCGGCGTCTCCGGATGAAAATGAATTTGGTTTGCAATTAACTATGAGGTTGATTGTTATCAAAGCACATTCAGACACAAGCTCTCTGTGTTCTACTCTTACCCTTTGGATGACCCTCATCCGTATCCGGAGGTCAGAAGAGGTCGATTGACCTCAGGGCACCCAGGTCCAGTAGATTGACCGTAAGCACTGACTTTCTCCAGTCTCAAGAGATGTCACCAGGTATCACAGGATAGAATCAGCTTGCGTCTCAGAGATAACTCCTAAGAAGTGAACAATTCAGCTTTGTTCTGCAGGAAATGTTTTTCATCAGCTTTGCAGGTGCACAAAAGGTTTCACGACGCATAAAAATCTTGGATGTTTATGGAGTCTTGCAACAGGTGGCCAGTCTGAGCTATTCTCCAGAACTCTCCAGCGCTGAAGAATCTCTGACTGGCTTTAGTTTTAAAGTTTCATTGTTATGGTTTTCACAGCCAGTCAGAGGCAGACAGAAAGGAAGATGTTACCAAGCAACTCTCAGAAACATGCCTTCTTTAATATGGAGGTCCTGATCTGGGTAAAAGGTTTTAGCTATGTGTATGGGACTTTAACTTAGCCGTATTTGTCATGGTGGATGGGCAGGTGTGTGGACCTTGTCGTCAAAACATGGGGAACACATTGCAGTCTAGTGGATAAACAACATCCACTCAATGAGCACAATTAATCAAGCATTTCATTTCATAATACTATAATTATGAGTATTTATAAATAAAAGATTATTTAATGATTATCTAGATTATAAGTCATATAAGGAGTTCATATTGATTTATTAAAATCATTCTTGACATTAGCACTGATTTGAGCTGGATCTTCTGTCTTCTGCAGCTGAGACCTTGAGGAAAGTAAGGTAATGTCGTGATTTAGACTTGTGAAGTCTGAATCCCAGCTTGTGTGAAGGCAGACTTGTTTAAAGGGAACACATGCGATGCTGTGTCTCCTCTCTGACCAGATGTTTAATAGATGGTGGAAGGTCAGGCTGTACCTAAACTGACCATTGCTGGACGCTACAGGATCGAGAAGACAGAGCACACACACACACACACACACACACACACACACACACACACACACACACAGGCACAGGCACACAAACACACACATATATAAGCACACACACACACACACACACACCACATATACCAAGTAGTGTTTCCATGGCTACATTGTGATTTCTTAGTAAACATGCTATTAGTAAGAGATACACTTTATTGTATTTATCCTAGTGAATCTATAATTAATTCAACAGGTAAACTAGTAGTAGCACATTCAATGTCAACGAGAGTAAAATGTTATTATCAGGAGAGGGAGAATGTTTAAGTGGTTAGCAGCAGTGTTCAAGTCGATAGCCCCCTTAATGAGGCCACCACAGCTCAGCAGAACATCATTGTAGCTTCTTCTGGGGAGAAAAACACTTAAGAGAAAAGATAAAGTTCACAGCTGAAATAGCAGGAAATAATGCAATTAGAGAGTAGTGGTGGAAGAATGTATTAGTGTGGAAAGTGGTCAGTATGTCCTCCAGTCTCAGCCTATAGCAGCATAACTACAGATAACTCTGGATAACCTAGGCTTTTAGACGGAGGCATGTTGGAGGCAGGGCAAGGGAGAGCCGTCTTTACCGACTGTACACTCCACCTCCCTGTACTCCCC